ACTCCCTTAAGCCTGATCCCTTGATCCGAGAGCAGAGGTGGCACATTATGGCTAGGAATTCCAGCTGCCAGATGCTGTATATTGCTTACTTGGAGACTACAACAGGTAACACAATTTTATAACATCTTACCTAAGAGAATAAAGACAAAGTTTGCTCAAAATTAGAAGGGCAGTAGTTCTACTCTTTTATTGAAGCTTCTGGTAGATCTTAATATTTTGTGACTTCAGCTATAAAGGAGATTCAGTGTTACTGAGTATTAACCCTGCTACTGATGCTAGTACAAATGTTAGCGCTGAGCATTTAGTACTAGACACTAAGCAAAGGGTCAGGAACAAAGTGTAACTAATATGATAAGTCTCACTAACACATATGTAAGAACACAGATCACTATAATGACAATGAAGTGGCCTTCATAGTATGTTTTAGCTAACAGATACAAAAATGCTAGTGCAGTATCAATGGTTTTTAGAAGCAAGTTTAACTGAGCCTTGAAAACTGTGGTTAATAAAAATACTTCAGGGGTGAGTCTAGGCCAGTCAACATATTAAAAAGCAGTTATTGAAATGTAGTTTCCAGCAAGTTAGGCTAAGTTCCTAAAAGGAAGCACAATCTACATACCACTTGTTCCTCATTTATTTCACTTGTGCTTTCTGTCAGGAGAAAACACTTTCCCCTTTATTAGACAGCAACAAAAAAGGGGAGGGAAGGAAAGATGTACATGAAGCAAGGAAGTCCTTACTTTTGCTTTTATTGATGTAAGCCTGACTTATAAGACAGAAGTTTCTGTGGCCTTTATCATAACATTGTATGGTCACCCCCTGTTAAATTTCCAATATGTCCTAAGGACTTACTCATCTAAATGCAGAGGCTTTTGTAATTCTTACCCTTTCTATTATACCTGTGGTTCTATTATATCCTGATGGTGCAAAGAATTACCCTTTAGTCACTACCTGTATCAAGGGTGGGGTTTATTTGCTTGTTTCCCATTCATCTATTTCTCTTATTCCCACATGTTCACACTATGGTGATACAGTTTTATCCTCTTCTAGCCATGAAGGGCAATGTCTCAGACTAGAAGTGAAGAAATGTGCTTATCTTACACAATGTTTCTCTTCCTTTATTGTTGCCATTGCTACTTCCCAAACATATTCTGTCACATTGGCAAAGATCTTACATAGATCCTATCCAAGGCATCTTTGTTTCTGCCAAGTACCAGATCTTATTCTTATGCCATCATACACTGGACTGTAGAATATTTAAGAAAGTTAAATGGTAGCTTTGGTGGGGTTTTCTTAATTCCGCTTCTTTTATTATTTTATTTTTTCCTGTGGATTAAAATGTATTCAGCTGTGGTATTTCTCTCCAGTTTTCTAGAATGTCAACAAAATTTCATTTAAGAAGTGATGAGTACAGACACAAACATATAAAGGTGGGAAAAATAAGCTTCTGAGGGCTGGTAATAATTTCAGTATTTAACAGCTGTCTGCATTTGCTCAACTCTACCTCTGCTAAGTAGATTTCGACCTATGGAAGACATACCCAAAATAATTCTATTTCAGAGGCAATTTTTTTTACAGGCAAATTTCTTGAGCTTAATTTACTGCATGTCCTTGCTGGAATGGTTCTCAATCCTTTGCAGATGCAAAGTCACAGAGAACTGCCTGGATATATATGATTTTATATGCCTTGCAGATAGCTCAGAGATACAATTGCAAAATCTAGCTTTCACAGACAGCTGGGAATTTGTGACAGTCCCTGAAGGACTTTGCATCCATAAACCAATGACTAGATTACACTGATCCATAAATGTGTTATTCTCCTATCTCTGGCTAATGCAATACAAGTAGTCTTCCTGCTGTTAACTGTTTCTGAAGCCACACACAAGAGAACATAAAGGGTATGGCATATATTCAAACAGAAAGGTCAGCTGGTCATTTACACTTTATGCTAGCAAAATAACTTCTATATCTGTAGTGTTGCAGGAAGAACTAAACGCAGAAATGTTCCCTAATTTAAGTTCTGTGTTCAGAAAATGTTGCTAAAAAGTAGTGATTCATTCAGACCCTAAAGGAGATTGTTGACAAAGTCTGGTCTAGAGCATGAAAGCTCAATTCATGAACAAGCTGTGGGGATAAAGCTGCAGGTTTGTTTGCCAGCATTTCTTGCTCTGTAAGAATCCAGGAACTCTCATGGTGATGTTGCCTCCTCACCAGGAGAGAGGCAGTAGGTGTGTGTTGGGGGTGCAGCTTGGCTTCTGGCTGGCTGAGGGGCTTTCCCTGGCCTCTGCTCCACTGGAGGGCTGGGGGGGACTGCTGCCCTGCACAGAGTGAGTGAGACCCACTGCAGCAGCGAGGAGCTCTTGGGCACAGTGCTGGGCAGCAAGCAGGGCTGTGAGCTGGGACACATGGCACTGAGAAGCAGCTTCTGATAGATAACCATGCCCTGCAAACACCAGAGGAGCCACCAGGCCGTGTCTTCGTGAGCAGATTGAACGTGCCCAGGACAGCTCTCTAGTGCTGAGGCTGACAGACACAGGACAACTCATGTGGGAATCCAGGGCATCCCTCTGGCTGCCCTGGAGGTCCTGGGACCCTGACAGGGGGTCAGGAACCCCCTGTACAGAGCCCCGAGAGACACTGTCTGTGATCTCTGTCCATGGAAAAGAGTTTCCAATCTTACAGGATGAATTACCAGCTCTGAGTGTTCGATATAAGTAATAATTAAGTGTGGCATGGGTGCAAAAGTAAAATTTTAGGATTCTAGATTAGGGGTTCAGAGGGGACAAGATGGAGGAAATTGGGTGTGTCTTGTCCTTTTCCTCCTTCTTCATGCCCTCCATGTTTCACTGTAGTGTTGGCATTTTTCTATTGGTTTAGGCTGGGGACACACTGTTCAACATAGGTGACAGATATTGGCACATTATTGTAAATATAGCACAGGTAGTTTCTGGTATATAATGTTTGTAACATCCCACTGAGGGCAGAGCCCCGCACGCTGCCCTGCAGGACAGACCTGCGGCAGGGCAGCAGAACATGTTAGAGATAAACAGAATAAACAACCTTGAAAACAGCACAGACGAATTATGGCTTCTTCTTTGGCAACGGGGCAGAAAGACAGAGACTTTCTACAATCTCGGAATCACCAATGCCCACAGATTCTGACAAACTCATGCCTGTGCCATTCAACCTGCAACCTCAGGAAGCCACAGCTGTATTCAGAGAACCAGAGGAGATGGATATGAGGCACCATTAGCACTGAACGTTTTTAGAGTCACAAGGCCAAGAGCATTCCAGCGACAGCCAGACTGACCTGAGAGTCCAGCAGTGCTCCCGGCACAGCTCTTGCTACCAGGAGAAGCGTAACCACAGAAACTAATGCCATGTCCTGGAAAATGAAGTGCCTAGTCAAAGCAACATCTAATGAAAAAACCCTTCCATTGTTAGTATTGAGAAGATCATGAAGGCATTTGTACTTTGGACTTCATTCCAAATTTCTACGGGGTCATTAAAAAGTAATTTTGCTTTAGCTACAACCTTTTTGGTTGCTATTAAAGAGTTCCAGGTTTATTTGCTGCCTAACCAGGAAGCAAATCCTTGCCTTGTTTCTCTTCAGGAACATTTTTTTCTATTTTCTAGCTTTCTCATTGACCTCGATATTTGAACACCTGTGAAAGACTCAAGCAAGATTAAAGATTTAACTACATTTCTTTCTCATTTGTCTCCAAGGAAAGAAGAATATGAATGTATAAACATTACTGCTTATTTTAGAGAAAAAAATACCCATCCCTTACAACAGAGTTTAGTTTATATTGCTTCAGAGACCATAACTCACATAATGTGGTCAGGAGAGGTGACCAGAGATTAAAACAACAGCACAAAGACAACCTTTTAGTCCTTCAAAAGAACTGAGATGTTGATCTTGGTTTAAGGAGAAGCCAAAGCAAGGCATCTGGGACAAGTTAACTGTGTGCACTGGGAGTTAACGCTGCTGAAAATATTCTTGCAGCTTTCTCTAAAAGTTGGTATTTTGAAAACACTAAAGGCTGTAGCATTTTGCAATAGGGTGCATGATGAAAGCATAAGATTATGAAATTTTCCATCCAGAAGTCTTTATAACTTCACAGCAGCTGGAAATGCCCAATAATCCTCATTGTAAAATTTTTCATTCTAAGACTTCCACCATTCATTTAAACACAAGCACTTTTCATAGGCTATATATAGAAAGACTTGCCTAAATATTGAAGAGGAAACAGCTCACTGTTTCTGTTGATTTTTGCCCCCAAATAAATCTGAAACACAACCCATTAGCAAAACTTTATGAAGCTGAAACACTTGGATTTACCTTATATAATCCTGTTAGCCTTTACAAAAAACCCAACCCTAAACATAAATTAAAGAATTTTTGCCTCAATTTCTTTTTAACAGATGTGAAGATGTAGCTGTTATATAGACCTTTATTCCCTGATACCTTATTCCAGCTTGTGAAAGTATCTCCAGTTAAGGAACCACAGCCACAATGCTGTGTGTGATTCAGCCAATTTATTTGTGTTAAACTGAGCCTAATGCAGACAGAGCCAGATGAACATCTGAACTTTTTCCCAGTTTTTCAGCAACTCATGCAATCTACAATGATTGCATGTCTGGAAAATACATCCAAAGAGCCTAGCACAGGGAGGCTTTCAGTAAAACAGGACTTGGGAATATAAGACCCCATAAAATATGAATCACAAAATTTGACCATGTACCTACCCTGTTTAGATTGGCAAAGCAAGCTATTATCACAAAGAATTATTTGCTTTTTCAGTAGTGCCAGTCTATGGTAGATTCCACATGCTCAAGCTTGAGCGTCACCCAGGGTGTCTTCGGTTTGAAAAAACAGCTTCACATCTCTGCTTCAAAGTATACCAGAACTTCAAATAAAAATCTCAGTCACCTATATCCTGACAATATCACAGATCACTCAGGGGGAAAGCTGTAAGAAAAAAATTACAGGAGGCAAGTTAACACTGTTTTAAATATTTTATTGTAATGTACTCTTTAAATGGATCTGCTTTAAAGTGAATCTTTGTTAATATGGGATTTCATAAATAAGCAGCATAAAGCCTCACGTGCTTTAAAATACAAATCTGAATGTTCACAAGGTCAGGTATCATCATATTCTTTTCATGCATGCTCTTATCATTATAGTTTTGCAAAGCATTATTTTGTTAATAACCATTTCTTTATCAAGACGGTGGTCAAACACAAGAACAAGCTTCCTGGGCAGATGATCAATGGCCCAAGCCTGTCAGTGTTCAAAAGGCTTGTGGATGATGTCCTTTGTTGCCCAGCACTGTCAGATAATTGGACTAGTAGGTCACTCCATGTGGCTTTCAACAGAAATATTGTATCCTATCCTATCCTATCCTATCCTATCCTATCCTATCCTATCCTATCCTATCCTATCCTAATTATTTATTAGATGTAAAAGTCCTTTTCCTTTCCTTGTTCAAGATCCCATGACCTGAAGAAAGCTCACTTTGGCCTTCTGTTTTCATAAAACTGAAGTGTATGGGACCTACTGCTTCTCTTGATTTTGCTTCAGTCAACACCACAGTTTATGAAGAATCACCAAGTGATAAGGAACCCAGCTGAGAGCCTGAGAAAACTGTTTGTTACTTATTCTTAGTAGGGCTATTTTCTCAATTTAAAAGGGATTAAAACTTGTTTTCATAGAACCAAACAATATCATGGGTTAGACCAGGCCTTAAAGATCACTTGGTTCCAACCCCTCTGACACTGGCAGAGACCAAGTTGCTCAGAACTCCATCTCGACCTTGATACCCCATTGATGTGGCATCCACAGCTGCTCTGGCCAACCTGTTCTAATGCTTCACCACCCTCACAGTAAAGAATTTCTTCCTTGTACCTAATCTAAACCCACTCTCCTTCAGCTGGGAACTATCTCCCTTGACCTGTCACTACACGATCTTGTAGAAGTTCTCCGATCTACCTCATCATGAAGCTTTCTATTATTCTGGCCCCAATTCTCTCAGCCTTTCCTCAAAGTAGAGGAAAGTCTCATCATCCTGGTGGCCTCCTCTGGACTTGCTCCAACAGGTGCTGGGGAGTGTGAGAGACTGAAATGTTAAAGGTTAATGACTCAATTAGCCACTGGCAAAAGCAGCACGTGATTTGCTGGGGCCAGATTGCACCCTCAACCGAAGAGGGGAGGTGAGCTTTCAGGTGTGTGGTGGCAAAATCTCTGATCTGCCTAAGAGCAGCCAATGTGCAGAGGAGGTGATCGAGTGGAGGATGACCACCAGTGAAGGATGGCCACAACAAACCAATCTTTCTTTGGCAGCAAGCTGGGTTTTGAGCCGTGTAACAGAGAAGGCTGATAGGAAGCAGATCATGTGAGGTGAGATAAACTTTTTACCATGTCCGTGTCCTCCCTTGCACAACTGGCTCAGGTGTAAAACTCCCACTTGGGGTATCAGGATATTCATAGGTAAGCCTGAAGAGACTCATCCTATCTGATGGGGCATAACTGGCTCAACTACACTATATATCAATACTAGTTTTGATATTATTAAAAGCAATACACTTTGTGCATGTTCAAAGACTCCTACAATGTGCCTAATACTGCACAGAGCACCTACTAAGAAGGGAGGTATGCTATTATGGATTTGGTATTTCACTAAATTCCCCACTAATCTGGGAGCCTGGGCAAAGTGCCTTTGAACCTGCATGAGAAACATCACAGTAGCCATTCCCCCTGGTGAGACAAATTGCATGTGAACACTCCCCTCCACATAGCCTTTAGGTGGTGAGAGATGGGTGGAATGACCACCAGGTGAACTGACTGTGCTTTAAGCCATAATTACACCCGGATTTAGAGTCAACGAATGAAAACAGACATTATCTGTCTTTCTCCTACAACCACCTACCTCTTAATTCAGAATACACTCAAGAGTTTGTCTTAGCCCTTCCTGCAGGCTGAACAAGCCCATCCAAGAAATGTTTCTGGTAGGACAAGAGCTGAGCCACAGGTTACCCTATCTTAACACCAGGTTCCCACAAAGAATTTGAAGGAAAAAAGGACATTTTTTTCTAGTAAAGTAGGCCTTTTGGACCTAGGGTCCGGAAGCTGCCTATGAGTTTTTAAGCTCTAAGTTTTGCATATGAGAAAACAGGGGTAATTTTTATTTTTACAAGAGGCAGTAGCTTTTCTTCCACCATAATGATGTTTTCCCTGTATGACATGCCAAAGATGAGTGTGAATTACTATTTATTCCTCTAAAACTACTTTGGAAACCATTTATATAAGGAAATTGAGGAACAATCTGTGTAAACACTGCAATTAGAAAAACATATTTTAATCTAGAGTTCTCATACCATATAAAACTATAATTAATTAGTCACGGTGAGATCTATTGATCAGTATGTTCATAAAACTGAGAGATGAATAGTTAGTAAAAGGCAAAACTACTGGAAGTAACTTATATGACTGAAGTAAATAGAGATGACCAACCAGACCCATCATATTTTAAAAATCTGTTGAGTTACAATACATTTTAGATGGAAAAAAACCTGTGGATGTCATCTAGTTAAACTGTCAGTCACAGCAGGGCCAATTCACTAAGGATCATCTGCAGTTGAGTTCTATCTATTCAGCAATAGAGATTTCAGACTCTGTGTTAGTACAGTCTAAGTATAGTTAGCAGCACACAAACAGAAAACATCACATCTTTCTTATTTTATTAAAATTTATTGTAAGATCAAAGGTCTCACAAAAAAATAGAAACTTACAAATTGTGTGAATAATTTTAATGCACTCATAAAGAGACATTAAAAGAAAATTGACTAAGATTCTGTACTATATCTGCAATATAATTGACTGGCTTTATTCTTAAAATATTGTTGCCATTTAGGAGTAAATAAACAGCATAGCATACACATGTTCACAGGTATTTACCACTTATTTTAAACAAAATCTTTATGATATATTTTTTTTTCCAGAGAAATTAGTTCATCCCCATTTTGAAAAGTTATTTGAAATAAGAAAACATTCAACATCCTCACTGGAAGTAAAGTGAGCTGATGTTTCTGTTGTAAAAAATTATGCTATGGAAATCAACAAATAGCTTTACAGGGTTATACAGCCATACTAAACAAGCTTCTACGTTATGCTGCATTAGGCCTTCTGGATTAGCAAAACATTTTGACAATAATGGCAACTTTTCAGCTGAAGCTTAAGCATTTCATAGTTTGGATTAAAATGCTGTAACCTTTAAAAAACAAATATCCAGTGTTACACATCTGACAACATTCTTAACCAAATGGTAATACTCTAAAGGTTAAGGCAACTCCAAATTGAAGCTGCAATGTCTGTATTTTTCACAATTCCCTGCTCAAATTTAACTCCTTAGAATGCAATGTGTGAGAGAGAGTGAGAAAGAGGTGTGTGGTACTTGGTTGCTGTTTGGCGTTAAACCATAACAGTCCCACAAAGAAAATGAATCATTTTACATGTTTAATTTGGGTATTTTCTTCCACACACTGTGTTAATAAGCATGTGATCCTACAAAATGATACCCACTATGGGACTCATGTTTAGGCGGCCTTCTCAAGGTAAGTACTATTTGCATTGGAAGATCCATTCTAAAATAAAACCACACAAGAAATGAGAGGAGGTCCTGTTATTGACTTATACTCATTCATCTGAATTTTCCAATTCATCAACAGAACAGCATAGGCAGAGGAGAGAAGTTCATTTAAAATAGACAGTAAATTTTTTCAGCCAAATATAATAAGCATCATCAACTTATTTCTGATAGTTGATGTGTTCACTTGTTCTTTGTCTTCATGAAGTGTAGCTGGCTATCATTGTTAAGGTAAGCACTGTTCCTCATTATTAAAATGTCAAGGTGGAAAGATTTTAATATCACTACAGCTTCTTATATTTCAAGAAAAAAAGGGAAGGAGTTGACAAAAAAAATGGTAATTCACTATAGATTTTCTTATTACTCTGTATCTTAAAGCCTCTGGTATAGCTTTAGTAAATAAAAAGCATCACGTTTAGTTCCCAGTTTCAACACAGGCCTCTGTTGATCAACTGCACTGGTGCAGCACTGAGTTACCATTTACAGATCAAAGGAAACACACAGGACCAAGGCAAAGTAAACAGAGGAAAACAAGCTTAACATCTATAACTCAAACTATCCAGAGCACTAGTAGGAATCCACTTCAAGAAATTTGCCGAAGGCTTTTATAACTTTTATGCAAGCAAAACCACAATGCATTTCTAAAGTTTTGCTTCAATATTTGTATTTAGTTGTACAGTACGTTAAAGTCAGTGTACAGCTTTTGCCATTTTATTGTAACCTCTGTAAACTCACAACTATATTGCATCATATGAAAGGTTATAAACCCTTCTGCAATCCCCATTAGATCTACTGAATGCAGCAGAGTGGAACATGTTGGTACAGAAGGTTAGGAGCCAGAAGACATATTGGGTGTCCAGCCCATTTGATAAGCTCTCTCCAGTGTTCTCTTGCAATCCTGCAGCACAGTACTGAAGGTTATATGTGGATATTGCTGCACCAGCTGCTCCACTGTGGCCTCCTTCACCTGCAACAGAAGAACAGAACCTGTGATATGCAGAAAATGAACAAAAAGGGTAACATTAGGCAAGCTAGAAGAATGGAAAAACTTTGGACTCTTGGGCAGATGGGGCTCCTCATTGTTACTGTAGGTTTATGTGCATTTATCACAAAATAAATATAAAAACATAATGTCTGGTTAGAGAATGAAGAAAACCAAACTCAAACCCCATGCTTTGATTTCATTGTAAAGGAAGAAGGTGGTTAAACAAATGCTGCCCAGAATAACAGATTTCTAACTTAGAATAGAAGCTATTTACTCAAAGTTGCTCAAGCAGACATACATTTAAAAATGTGAGATATTTTTTGGCTTTGGCAAATAAAAATTGATTACATCTGTTAATTAATGGTACACTTATGGAGACATTAAAAAATGCTGTTATAACTCCACAATTAACTTTACTGAAATAAACTTGCACTATATGGTTGCTATCAACAGGTGTTCAATGAAAAGTAATATATATCATTAATAAAGATGGGGAACAAAAATTAATTATTCTATGTTGCAGGTAGATCAATTACTCCTATATGTCCTTTTTCCAAAAGGTAAAAGTCCTGCATGTCTTCACATATATCACTGGCAGAAGATTTTATTTTAGCCTTCTTTTGAGAGAATAACACTGCAGAACTGGGTTCAATAATTAAAACATACAAAATGGTTGGGACTGGGATGTCCCTCTTAAATTTGAGATGCCAAAGTTAGCACCTTCATTCTTCATGAGACAAGGTAATCAGACAAACCCAGCTAAATCTAACACCTTTACAGCTCCAGTGCTGCAACGGGATTAATTTGTCAATTATTTTAAAGATTATTGCAGTTCATATCACAGAGATAAACAACTTTCTTCAGCCTTTAGACTAATAAAAGATTAACCTAAGAACCATGACTTCTAGTTGGCTGTCTTCGAAATCTTTGCTGAAAAACTGGGCATTTTAAAATGCATTGATACTACGGTTACTGAATCAGCTACATCAGTAGCATGTACAACTGATGGCATTGTTTGCTTTTTGTCCCTCAGTGTTCCACATTCAAGGCCAAAGTAAAAAGCCAGACTGAAATGTTTACTACCATTACAAAGATCTGTCTTGTGAAAAATATTTTAAAGCACGGTAACCACAATATCCAATAATATTTTTGTCCTTAAAAGATAACAAGGAGAGCTTCCTTCTAAACAGTGATTGCACCCAATGACAAGGATAAATGAAAGGTTTAATATCCAGTTCTTCTACTTTGATAATAGAAATACTCAATCTTCATTGGAAGTTTCATCTAGCTAAGACTGACTTGGATAGAAAACTGGTTTAACTTCACAGCACAAACTGTACTTCTCTGGCAAATTGCTATGTTACAGTAACATTTTTCAGTGCTGAAAAACAAGAAGTGACTTTGAAAAAGTAAAATGAAATCAAAGATAGCATAAGTCCCCCACAATATTTCATATTTACAGTTGAACACATACTTGGAAATTTTAAGGTACAATTCACAGAAATATTGCTTGGAATGGAAGAATCCCCAACGTAGAAGTAATTTGCTACTTTATACGTATCCAAAAAATAGTGAAAAGTCTATTTTCATTAGAGTCATGATGCAGAGACCATGGCAGAATCTATCATGCTACCAGAAACTCCTCTTAATGGTTAACTCAGCCACAACAATGAAGCTTACAACGGACAGTGGCTTATTTGGCTTGTTCTTAAAACTTGAAGATGCATTATTTATCTATTAGATAGCTGCAAATTCTGCTAGTACATAGAAGCTATGGTGATTTCGCACTTACCTGTTGGGCACTATTTGTTAGAATGGCACAGATATCATGGCTTTAGAGCCAGTGTTATATGCATATTCTCTGTTATAAGAAACAAGTAAGGCAAATTCTTTACAAAGATGATGCTCACACACAGGAAGGTAGTAAATGGTCTCCATGCCCTGGTGTACTGGACTCAGGACATGTAAACAAGTACAGCCTGGCTAGGTTTAAGTTGATATATTTACTACCAGACTAGCTTAGGCATGGCCCATGACACTTAGGAAGACAGAGGATGTTACAATGGTATCTTTTAAATGGTATCTTAAAAACCTATGAAGAAATCTATGATAAACCACCTCTAACTGTTTGTCCTAGTTTTTTTTTTTCTGATACAATTATTACTAGATAAAATTTTTTGCTATTTGCTGTTAATACTTTACTAAACTGAAGAAGGAAGCTTTTGGCATCAAGTGCCAAATAAAGTTACAAAATAAACATGAATACCAGGAAGGCAGATAAAACCACTGCAAAGTGCCACTGACAAAAACAGCTGTTTTATGACCAAAGCCTGAAGAGTGGAAGCTTTTCTCCATTTTTTACTGGAGCATTAAGCAAATATTTTAAATTAGGCAATAACTTGTGTTATAACTTGTTGTTAAACAGTAAAGTAATGACAAATCCTATGGATGTATTTAGAACTGTGACATTTACAGAAAGAAATTACTTTGAGTCTGAAAAACTGACTTTACTCTCATGATAAAGGAAAAAAATCTTACTAAACTTCATGATAAATGATTGAATATATGTAACTTTAAGTTAAATATAAGTGTTTTTAATCCTGAGAGTAAACAGCAAGGAGTTAAAAATTATGCCAAACTAAATTCAATGTAAGATTACACAACAGAATGAGAAAAAAAATTGGCAGTGGGACAAACAACCTGGATCCAGATATGAGAAAAAAAGTATTCCCTATCTTTTTTTGACACCTTTTCTTTACCATAAGAAAAGTCAGGTCAGACATAAAACAATTCAAAACTTTTAGTATTTAAAATTCTTCCCACTATTGGACTAAAACTGCACTATCTGAAAAACAGGAAAAAAAAAGAAATAAAATTTTATTCTTCGTTAATGAATGTGAAAAGTCATATCTAAGTCAACTTTGCTAGTATCCTTGTCATCATTTCCCTAGTGGTAGGATTAAGATGAAAAGAAGTCTTACGCCCAGCCATTAGAACACAAGCCTCTGTCTCTTTGTTAAGATCAGCCTGGCTGGTGATAAAACAGAAGTACTGAATGTCATTCCCAAAATAAGTTCATTACACAAACAGAACAATTTTCCCTTCTGAGGTTAAACATTCTTGTTCAATGAATAAAAACTAAAAATCTCAACATCTTTAAATGCTTAAAATGTATTTTTCTTTCACAAAACTTTCATTAATCTTCATCTTCTGAGTTGTCAAAAAAAAAAAAAGACTGCTGTCTGCAGATAAACTACTTAGATTATCTAATACATAATCATTCATCTGAATTTGAATAGTTCTTCAATTATATTTTAACACATAATGAGAGAATGCAGCCTATATCATTAAGCATGAAAGTAATAGGATTGTGCAAAATTCTGGTCATCAAACAAAAAAAACCAAAATAACAACAAAGACTGGATTGAAAATTATTTTTTCTTTCTGAAATAAGAATTTATCTCAGGCCAAGGAATAGATGGAGAAAAACAAAAGAAAGGAGAAGATGGGTTACAGAAAATGGCAAGACTAAGTGGTATAATCTCGCTTTAACTCAATTAGAGCACTTACCTAGAAGTCATATGTTTGAATACTTTTTGCTTAAAGACACTTGAACACATATTGCCTATTTCCCAGAAGAATGCTCTTGACTTTGTGACAAATGTTATCTGGGGTAGGACCTCCTTAACTTATTCATCTAATGACAGTGCGGTTCTGTAGACAGCATTTAAATATTATCCATGCTAGAGAAAATTTCTCATGTGATACTTAGCAGTTCATCTTGGGAAAAAGAACAAGAACACTCTTCTAGTCCCTGTAAAATGGTACACTGGCAAAAGGGTTTTGTGAGTGCCTCTTTGGAGAACTTTCATCGCCACTCTGCTATGTACACACCAAATATGGCTGAAATACTGAGAAAAATGGGAAATCAGTGCACAACACTCTTACTCTCCTTTAGGCAAAATGATCTGACCATAACAGAAAGCCTGAAAACCACCACCAACCTGTTAATATTTTTTCTAGAATAAAGTAACCAACACTTATGAGCTGATTTTTTCCACACTCAGGGTAAACTGAAAGCTACTCACAATAAAATATTCATTCATATTTTGATCTAGCATGCTATATTTACTCATCTAGTCCTATTGCCAGTATTTACTGATTTGGAACACCATTTGTCTGACACAGAAGATCTTCAGAAATTTATGTTATGCCACCTTCCACAAGTTTCATGAAAAATTCAAAATGCAAGCAAGAATAGTTATTAGGTAATTTTATTTTTTTTTCCTTTTAAGTCTGCCATGTCATTTGTTTCTAGTGATAATTTCAGCATTGTTTTCTTTAATTTCTAGCTTCTAAAATTAGCAATTTCTAAATATCGAATTATTCCAAAGGGCTAGGATTGTTTTTTTAACCTAGTGTTTTCATTATGTTCCTACAACAGATCTTATTAAATTCAAAGGATGAATTCAGGTTTTCCTAATCATGTTGAGGTAAATTAGAGATTACATTTGAAACCATCAGCCAAACCAGGCATTTCTTTTTAATGAGACTGATACCTTCATCCACTGCTCAGGAACAGAAACAGAGGTATAGGGGCTTTTCCAAAACAGGACTTTCCTAGTTACTTTTCCTTAGCTTGTCTTTAGTTGATATAATATCCTGAAAATCTTCTCTTTCACTAAATTGCCAAGAATGGTAAGATTTGATACTTATCTCCAAAAGTCATCAGGATCAGTCTTAGAATGTAGTTCTGACTCTAAAGCTGTTAAAATGTGCCAAGAATGTCTATGTTATCTACAGCAATACTGAAAAGTAAGAGTAGAGTCATCACTTAAACTGCAAGTTTTATGCAGCTCTACACAGTGTATGAGTATTCAGCATTAATCTAAAGAGTTTGATCAGTTGTTCTCAATAACAAAACAAAAAAAAAATCTTCACATCTTAATGACTTCAGTTTAATGACCAGTTCATTTGATAAT